ATCAAGGCCCCCACAGTGAGGGAGGGAGTGGGGCAGGGGCTGGGGTGAATGGGGCCCAGAGGCAAGTTGTGGGATGATCAAAGCCTGGGCAGCTCGTCCAGGGGTGCAGAGGGGGCTCCCACTACTGTGCACACCCCGGGGGAGGCAGGGGAGATGCATGCCCCCCAGATTTGTGCACAGGGTGGAGATGGGCTGCCTGCTGCAGGCTGAGGGCTCTCTGCCCTGCTGCCACTGCCTCAGCAGCTGTGCAACACCATGTGCCTGCCACCGCCAGGCAGGGAGGGAACACAGCGCAGTCCGGCAGTGGCAGGCAGATGGTGTCATGTGGCTCCCAAGGCAGGAACACGGAGCAGGGGCATGGGACAACCAATGGTCAGTTTTGAACTGGTGAGGGAGCACTTGAAGACATTCAGCCACTCTAAGTCATCAGGACCAGATGGACTACATCCATAAGTGCTGAGGGAATTGGCTGGGGTCTTTGTGGGTCCATTGGCGAAGATATTTGAAGATTCGTAGTACTGGAAGAGGTCCTAGAAGACTGAAAAAGGGCCAAGTACTGGTCTAGAAACTACTATAAAACAGACTGGTTGGATAATTGTATTCAAACAGTAGTCGTGGACTGACTTGATGTCCTACTAGATAGAGGCGTGAGGGAAGATGGTCCCACAAAGTAAGGTCTGGGTCCAGTACTATTCAATGTCTTTAATACTAACTTGGGAAAATGGAATTTAAGTTATACTTAAATAAATTTCCAAGGACATCAAGGTGGGTCAGGTAACAAACAGTTGGTGGACAGTATTAGGACTTAAAAACTATTTGAAACAAAAAGCAAATGAAATGCAATGCAATAATGACAAGTACTGTGTTCAGGGCAGAAAAATTAAATGCACAAGTATAAGATAGGGAATGACTTGCCAGGCTGTGTGTACTATACAAAAATGCCAGGGACCAAACTGAACAAGTCAGTGTAACATTACCTTAAAAAAAGAAAAAAGAAGGAAAAAAAAGCTAATTGCATATTTGGATTAATTAAACAGGAGTGCTGCATACAAATAATTAGAGAACTAAAAAACATAAGGAAAGACTGGAAGAATTCGGATTATTTGGTCTAGAGAAGAGAAGAAATGCGGGGAGAAGATTTGATAAGTTTTCAGATACAAAAAGGGTTGTTATAAAGATGATGATCTGGTGATCAACCAATCCGCATCCAAAGAATGGGCTGAAACTGCAACAAAGGTGATTTTGGTAACTATTAGGACAAACTTTCCAACTTGGAGAGTGATTAAGTACTGGAACAGATAGCTTTGAGGGGGTGTACAACTTCCATCATCAGAATACAGATGAGACAAATATTTGTCTGACAAGTTTTAGACAGGGATGATCCTGCCTTAAGCAGAGGGATAAGGAGGGGAAGGGACTGGAGTTGGCCATCTAATCCATTTCTCTATGATTCTAAGATGAATTCGTTCTATGAAATTTTAAAATCTGTCAGAACACATGGTGTATAATTTTAGGTAAACATGAGTGAACCAGTTACAGGATGTGCCACTTTGCCACAGCCTTTTGACCAAGATGTTTATAAAAATATCTTCCAATTATATTGTCTCATTTTCTACAAGTGAGACCATTCCAAGAACGCAATACCTTACAACCAGTGGTTCTCAATCTTTTTCAGCTCAAGACAACCTCATGTTAAACTCAAATCACCCCTGGGAAAACGCCAGCTCTTAGCTGTCTTGACTACAAAAAAGTAATAGAGCAATTTTTCTGTTGCAAAGAAGCCAGAAAGACCACAACAGGTCAGAAAGGTTTTGGCACTATGGATTCCTATTTGAAAACTCTAGGTTTATCTTATGAATCACATGCAGGTGTTTACATAAACTAACAATGCTAATATTGTGAAGTACCCCATCAAAAGATCTGGCAGCACCTTGATTGAAAATCACCAATTTATATACACAGATGTAATGATTTTTTCCTTTCCTCAGGCAAAGTGAAGGGTTAACAGTCTCACCTTGAGAGTTTTGTAGGCACTGCTCATGGTCGTTACTTTATGGTTTGCATGAGACCCACCCAGTTTACAAAGATGACAAACAGGCCGTCTGCAGATTTCACAATACATGTTCACCCTCTCCATTTCATGTTCTGGGCACATCAAAATCTGCAAAGAGCAAATTAAAATACAGGTATTTCAGAAGAATGAAACGTTAACAACCTGCACAGGGCTGGATTGGGGCCTGGCCATGTCCCCTCCCCCGGCCATGTCCCAAACCCCCTTCCTCCACACAACTGCCCCCCACCCTCCTCCATGTGGCTCGGTAGAGCCCTGCCATGCCAGCCCCGGCTGCCAGATTGGGACCACTGGCCGGATTCAGCCCACCAGGCAAAAAGATTGAATACTACTGCTCTAATGTAAGAGAACTGTTTAACATGTGTCACCCGTGCCAAGGACAGAAATAGTCCTATTACACTTAAAACAACATTCTTAGCACTACTGACTCCAGCCTCATTCACCAGTGCCTCACCTAATTCCCTAAAATAGCTAAGAGGTTTCCAAAAGCAGAACACGATGTAATGTAGGAAAGATTCAAACTTTAGAAGCAAAATGCCAATTTGTAACACATCACCGAATAAATACAACCAGACATTGTAAACATCAGTTTAAAAATAACCATAGCTGAAAAAATGAAAAAGAAAAATTCTATTGTGTTAGGTAAACGTGAAATAATAATGAAATATCTACTCAGGTTGCACTACACATTGATTAAGCTTGTTATGTTAGGGTTTAAAAAAAAAGAAAAGTGCCATACTGGGTTAGACCAATGGTCTGTCTACCTGAGTCTCCTTTCTCTGACAGTAGAAGCAGTAGATGCTTTACAGCAGGCATGCTCAATCCTCAGCCTGTGAAGGCATGTAATTTCTACAGGTCTAAAAATTTGGCAGCAGGGGAATAGTGGCAACATTAATTGCTGCTCTCCTGTGGCCACATTTCCAGAGATAGGGAGCCTAGTGTGTTATACTAGAGAGAAAGGGGCAGCCCAAGATGGTGCAGGGCCAGATCCAGGTGTTCCAACCCCAAGAGGGATCTGGCCTGCAAACTATCTCTGCACCGCTCATCCAACCCACAGGACTGAAAGTTTGAGCACCACTTCCTTAAAGGGAAAATTTTTCATGTAATCCATCCCTGGTCATACCCTCCCTGTTGTCAGTCATTATTGGTTTGGGTATATCAGAGGATATCCCTGTCTGCTCTCTTTGGTAGCTATTAATGGAGCTGTCCTCCATGAATACGTCTAATACCTGGTTATACTATCTGCCTCTACAACCTCCTGTGATGAAAATATCTGCAAATTAACTATGCGCATACACAACACTGGGCAATAAATTAGCTGTTATGACTTGGGAAATCTAGGAGTTTCAGTTATTCTAGGCTGCAGTAATGCTAAGACACTGTAAAGGACCTTGGGAGTAAAACGCTTTACTGACTGCTGGATGACTTAATAAAAGACGCAGTGAGCAAAAATGTAAGAAACTATAGCTGAACAAGCTGGGGAGTAAAAAGTTAGAACTCACTAGGGAGGCAGAGATAACAGAGGGCAAGCTGTACTCAGCAAGGGTAAGTTAAAGATACTCAAATTCAGTATGGCTGGAGCTAGAAAAGCCCAAACTCAGAAAGGAGGGAGCTCTAGATGTCTGAACCTGGGAGGGGGGAGCTGCAGTTGGCAAGGAATAAGCTGCAAGTGTTTGGACTTGACCAAGAGAAAAGCGAAAAGAGCCAGAGATAAGAACTGGCACGGAGTGAGGGCATCTAGGCTATAAATATAGGGGTGTGAGACTTGCCCTTTAGTAGCGACTTAAGGGGCATCTGTGCATGTAATGCATCACTTACCATTGTGTGGGCAGTTTCTCTTGTTTGTTTTAAACCTGCCTCCTGATCATTTCAGTGGGTGTCCCCTCATTCTTGTATTCGGGGGCTTAGACACTGAAAGTTCCCTATTCACTTAATCTACACCTGTCATGATTTTACAGACCTTTATCTGGTCCCTGATCAGCCTTTTTCATTCCAAACTGAAGAAGTCCTACCCCTTCTAGTCTCTCCTGATACAGCAGCCTCTCCATACTCCTGATCATTTTTGTTGGCCCTCTCTGTACATTTTTAGTTCTACTGCATTCTTCTTTTTCAGATGTGAAGAACTGCACACAGCATTCAAGATGTGCACGTACCATTGAATTATATAGTAAAGTGATGAAACTGATGAAGTTTTTCCGTTTTGTTTTTGTCTTCTTAATGTTGCCCAACACTTTACTGGATTGTTGGATGCCCAACATTTTACCAGGCTTTTTTGGTCACCACTGCACACTGAGCCAATGTTTTTAGAGAACTACATATAACAACTCCAAGGTCACCTTTCCCAAGTCATAACGGCTAGTTCAGAGCCAAGTAGTGTCTATGTACACTACTTAGCATTTAACACTGATGCTGCTCTGCCCCTTTTTTGCCCACTCAGGTGTGCAAGTTGTGAGAATAAGTTGTTTTCTCACAGAACTGTTTGACTATTGTAATACAACTTAAAATATAATTTTGTTGTGTTATCCTACATTTGGTAAATGAAAGTTATAGCTCTCAGAAAACAAGAGATGGAGAAGACCTACCAGATTATCTTGTTCTTCTATGTCATAATTCAAGGAACAATAATACAGTATGTCTCTCTCCCATCCCTACCACACACATTCCTCAGCATTATTCAGTCTGGCTTTAAATGAATCAAATGTATGACTGGGAACATTGTTTACGAGAATAATAATACGCCATGCATTCAAATCATCTCCTAACAAAAAGGCATGTGATCAAAACTCTAATCTAATCTGGCGCAATAGTCATAGCATATCCCTTAAGGGGTCAACATACAGGCTTGATATAGTTTACTACTCCTCATTTTGTCCTCATAGGAAAGTGTATAAATTGAAACACTCACGCCACAGATTGACATTCTAAAAATGTCAATCTATTAATAAACCATGTCCGTATTAGCATCAAGAGAACCAGAATTCTCTCCTCCTTTATCTGCCTACAAGGTGAATTTTCTATAGGCATTAAATCTTAAAAATCTTAATATTTTTAAATGGCATATTTCAAAATTTAAAGTCTAATTCTAAAAATAATTTAAAGGTTTCTAGTGGACTTAAAAAAAAATGTAGCCATAGCCAGTATGTCTGATAAAGTAGGCCCACCCCCCATAAAAAAGCATATATGTTTACCTGTTATTTTTATGCAATTAAAATGCTATTAAATGGAATAATTAAATGACAATTACTTGATGCAATACTTTGTATTAAAAGAGGAATTTAACTATGATCTGTTCATTATATAAATCAGACTACCAAGTCCAGGAAAATTAAGCTCCTGTGCCTCCCTAGATCCTCTTGCTTTGAATGAGTTGGAGCTTATACATTCAGTTTTCCCATCTTCACAATACATACAAAATTAAACAAGGTATGGCGAGAAAAGTGAAAACCAGATACCAGTTTTACAAAGCTATGCAACTAAAGTTAATATTGTATGGTTCTATTTTGCCTGACTGCATGAATACCACAAATAAAAATTAAGCTTGGCGAAGAGTAATTTAGTAAAATAATTCATATAAAATTAATCTTTCAATACTAAACAGGATTAAATCATGTCTATCTGAACTTAGCTTCAGTTTACTTGCTTATAGGAGAAAGATTAGAAAACCTACAAAGTAAAAGTAACTACAACAATCTAGGTAAAGGTACCATCTTACAGAACTTACCAATTTTATCAAGTTAGACTAAAAATGTGTATGAAATAAAAAGCAGCCCCACATAGTAAGCTTTGATTTTCTAGAACCTGGCACTCTCCGTAAATGACATGACTAGATTTTAATCTTACAGTTATGTTTAAGTTTCAATGTACGTGTAAGAACAATTGCTAAAAGAAAATGCTACGCTGTTAGTAAAAAGCTTCACATACCAGCAAATCTACCTGTTTAAAAGTATGTGGTTAAGTATTTCCAGAACCAGTGAACAGTTTCATTCTTTAAAAGTCAGCTATTGCAGTGTGAACATTTTACCCAATTAAAACACGTAATCTGGTCTATACAGAACTCAATGCAAGGCAAAACTGGTCTTAAAAGCAAAGCATTATCTTACAGCAGCATCCATGAGACAGTGGCATACTAAGAGTAGAGTTCCATGGATGCAAAAATTTTGAATTTATACAGGTCTAAGCAATCTCTAATATAGCCATTTATACCATAACATTCATCATGGGATTACCATGTTCTATTTATACACTGAGCAAACGATTGTGCCTTTCCCTTTGCTACTACTCCCTAGTGAAGCCTGAAGCAGAAACAAGCAACAACACGAAGTCCAGAACTTCTTATGAAAGCTTCATTCTTCTACAATAGCTAGACAAGAATTATGACTCGGAGAAAAAAAAAAAAAAAGCATAAAACTCAACTTCATCGGTTCTAAGCTTGCCAAAAGGGGAAGGGAAGAAATCCCATATCCCTGAGTAGCGGTGCACAGATAGAGATTTTGGGGCCGATACCAATAGCCGACTTTTAAGGAGGCATATCAGCCAATACCAATCCGATTTCTGATATGCAGCCCTGCAGCTTGAAGAGCTGCATGTAGCTTGTAAGTCTGTTGTGGTGGAAGGGGAGGGGGAGAGAAGGGGTGTGGGGGGTGCAGATCAAGGCTCCCTGCAATGAGGGAGGAGTGGGGCTGGGGCAGGGGGGGGATGGAGCTACAGCTCCTCCAGGGGGGTGCGGCTCCCACTGCTGCACTCACCCTGGGAGGGCATGGGGGGGGTGGGGAATCCCCGGATCTGTGCGAGACGGGGCAGACTGTAGGTGCAGGCTGGGGCCAGAGCTGCACAGGGCTCTTCCCAGCGGCGACTGGGCCAAGCTGCGCTCGGGGTGGGCAGCAGCAGTGCTAGGAGGGGGCTACAGAGGCGGGCTGCAGCCTCCCCAAAATTTGCCATAGCCCCCCTCCCAGTGTCACTGCATGCCCTGAGCACAGCCCTGGCCCAACCCCCACTCCCCCCACGCTCTGGGTAAGAGCGCCGAGCAGCCCCAACGCCAGCCCACAGCTGCAGCCTATCTCGCCCTACGCAGATCTGGGGGCATATGCCCCCCATGCCCTCCCAGGGTGAACACAGTGGTGGGAGCTGCACCCTCCCCCCAGACGAGCTGCAGCTCCAGCCAGCATGCCACCCTGCCCCAGCTGGGCAGTGCCTGCACCAGCCCCAGCCCCACTCCATCCCTCACCACAGGGGCCTTGATCTGCCACCCCATGCCCATTCCCTCCCCCCTCCCCGTCTACCACAACAGACTTACCAGCTGCATGGAGCTCTCCAAGCTGCCAGGCTGTGCTCCTCACTGACTAAATGCTGAACTGTGGTTGCATGCATGCACAGGCATTTAATCGGCCAAATTATCAGCCACATCAGGCCGATTTCCAATAAAATCCATTTTCTTTATATTGGTGCTGATCTGATAAAGGACCAATATATCGGTGTACCTCTATCCCTGAGCTTATTTGGATATCAAAAGGAATCCAAAAGGAAATTTCATTGCAGAACTCTGATTATTCTGCTACTTCACTGAAAAGTGAAAGTAAACTTCAGTGACTAAAGTCACTGACATCAGGAATTAAGACCATTCTAAGGACAATCTACACACACACACACACACACACACACACACACACACACACACACACACACACCTCTAACCATTCCTCTGTGTGCTCCTACACTTGTCAACACCCACCACATTAACATCAGACTAATAACTTTAATATGTGGCTGATGATTTCTTCAGTACATGTTAGTAATAAAGTCTAGAAGTTCAAATGAAATGGTTATCAATCATAAAAAAAAACACTGGGCCAGATATATTCTGTAGTATATTAGAGTGGGGGCAAGAGATACACATGGTAAGTAACATATCTGCAGGATTCATCCATATGGTACATTAGATTAAACAGCACTTACCTTAGGCCTGAAGTTAGTAGTTGGTCCAACATATTCATGCTGGGCTTTTACAGTTCCCCAAGGATGATGTATTTTGAAGCATTCATTGCAATAGCTTGCACTGCAGTCCATGCAACTCTTTGTGGATTCTTGAGGTGGAGGTTTGCAGAGATCACACATAATAGCTGTGGCTGCCCTGGCTGCCTGCCTGTATCTTTCCACTATAGTTTCCAACGTGAAGTTTCGGAATAAGCCATTGATGCCACGTTCTCCCAGATCTATATCATTCCGACAGCCAGGACAAGGAAAGATGGTGGTTCTAGGAGTCAATGAATTGCGTTTCCAGCCTGTATAGACAGCAAGTCTTAGTTACAAAAAAGTGGGGAAAACAGGGCAGAAGCGGGGAGAGATCATAAATGACAGGGATCTGTAAGTCAATTCTGAACCATCTCAGCGCACCTCTCAAAAGTGGTACAATACTAATTCTGACACATTCGGCCAAGCCAAAGAGAACAGATTTGCCTTTTCAAAGAATTGACTCATTTGTACACAGAAGACAGAGCAAGTTACAATTGAATTCCAAATGAAATTGAGGTAAGAACATTTTACTAATTCAATACCAAATGTGCAGCATTGAAGTTGTGTTTCTAGTAAGAGTACAAAATAGTATAGTGTGGCTGAGGGGCTCCTTTTCTTCAAAAACAAGCACTATATAGTCCAGGCACTGTGAAAGACAATACCTATACAATGGAGTAATTAGTTTCTGCAGTACTGTGCAAGGTAGAAAAAACTCCCTGTATTTGTCATTTATAGTTCTGGTGGAAAGGCATTTTTGGACAAACATACTTAGAAGTATAATTTAAATATTTACTCTACACCATGGAAGGTTTTCCAAACTAAATTCTAAAAATATCAAAAACTAAGGTTCTACCATTAACATTCAAAGATTTACCACAGTAATTTAATTTTGGATCTGTCTGGATGGTACCATCTTTAAATACCATACATACACACAGCTATCAGCTGACTGCCCAGAGGAGTTTTCCATCTATTGACTCCTCTGTGAAATCCTATGAAATATGAACTTTCATTTCTACCCAGGAGAACTTTTACAATCTTTTCTCCAATGCCTGATGAAGGGTGTGTGCCCAAAAGCTTGCAATTAAAGACATATTTTTGCAAAAATTTTGCTGGTCTAATAAAAAAATATCATCTCTACTACGAGTCCCGATTGCCTTATACATACATACAAACTTTCTAAAATCTGTCTGGATGGATGGCTGTTCAAATATAGATCAGGGGGGTGTTGATAAAACATACAAAGTGAAGGTTGTTTAATCTCAGAGCGACAATAAACAGTATTGTTCCCCAAAATCCAAATGTACTTGAGCTTTTACAAACATGGGTTGGAAGGAACATTTGGACCCACAAATACAAGACAAGACAGGTAGGCTGTTAGAACACTAGAAGCTTCCAGCCAAATCATTCAATCCCAGTAGGGACAGACTGAGCTGAATGTTTTTAATTGAACTGTTTAGACAGGCTTGTTTTTAAACAAGCTTTTCAGAACTAAATACTCTATAAAAAAGCCCACCAAGCGTGATACCAAAGGAAAGCCCAACATTTGGTTTTTAGCAGGTTTAATATATAGCATACCCTAGTCTGTACTGGGGGGAAAAATGAGACTGCAGGACCTAAAGGGAACTTCAAGCTAATTTTTCAAGAGGGATAGATAGATTAGATAGATAGATAATGCAAACATCAACTAATTACACACACTTCTTTTTAACCAATACATCAACCCCTTATCAACCTCTGTGATAAAGCAGACATAAAGCCTCACATAATTTGAAGAGTTCCTTGGTGAAGACTTCATTAAATAAAAAAAAAAAAGTCTCAAGGTGCCACTAACTACTCCTCCTCATCTCAGACTTCATGGCATTCTGCATTGCTCTAATGAAAAAAGGTCCCCCAGAATAAATGAATTTCTTTACAAGTCTTCTCATTGTGGTGAAAAATGATTGTCCTAAAATATGCACCATGTTATAGCTGTACATGTAAGACAGGGAATAAAAAGTCCAACTGTGGAGTGAGCAAATGTACACAAGCAGATGGTGCCTCTCCAGTTCAGTAAATCACATATTTCTCTCTGCCTAGATAACATATGGAAATAAGGCTACTTCGATGGGAGGGAAAAAAGTGAAATTAAACCAGTAGTAGGTCAGGTACAGTTTAGATCTCTGGCTAAAAAGGAATACAAAGTTTCTTGGTACTTACTTGATGTGAATGTAATAACCCAAACTGCATGCCCTGCAATATCTGTAACTTGGCATATGTAGAATAACACACACATGCAATGGATAAAACAGTAACAGTTTAAAAGCCTTATATAAAGATGTATGCTCCCAGGACATGCATACACAAATATACACTTTCTACATAGACTTTGAAGCAAGCCTGAAAGACCTGGGTTGAAGATAATTTGACATGCAATACCATGCAGTGAAGAACAGCCACCGAAAGATGCTTACATAAAAAGCAAAGAATTAATGGAAAATCAAACACTGGCTTGTATAGCTACGGCACAAGTGGTTAATACAATGCTTTAAGGAGCAATGCCAAAAACATAAAATAGCAGGTGAAAAAAACATGGTGCAGTGGTCAAGTTTAAAACAATGCAATCTCAAACATGCTTCTGAAGTCTGGACTAAGTTGACACAAATGTGGGGAATGAATTTGTTTAACCCCAGATACAAGTCAGCCATTTTCTTTGTCACACATGAAACAAGACAAAATTGTGATAACGAAGCCATGCTTTATACATATACTGGTGACACCATGCCTATACCAACATATTCAGTGGCCAGGAAATCCAAGAGATCTTAAGATATTCCATCCCTTTTCACTGATTCAATGCTAATGATTTGTTCTTCTTAGACTAACAACTACTTCAAAGAATACAAGGTCTGTAAATTCATATGGAGACAAGAAATTCATATGTTAACTATGTCAGCATATGCTACTGGTAGATAACTTAAAAACTGAAGCCGATTGATTCTTCATGTATCTGAAGAGTAAGTTAGCCTGGTATTTCCCATTTTTATTAAAAAATACAAGTTGGTAAAAGTAAGATACTGATCAATTTATTGATCCAAGAACACAAGGTATCTTTTTATGTTTTACATTGCCTTCTACCAAACAACTCTACATACAGCTTTCCCAGGAAATTTCAAAAACTATAATAATATTAAACTTCTAGCTTCATTTTTTTCTGGATATTTATACTCACTATCAACTAGAAGGCATCCTACTGCTGGTATCATAAGTTATATAAACTTCTGGGCTAAGCACAGACAGTCAAAAAGCCTGAGGCTGAACTGATTCAGTCTTTGCAGATTAGTCTAAGCTGCAAAAATTGAACCAATAAGCAAATGAACAGATACACACTTCTGATTCAGGAAATGCAGCCATATGCCTGCAGTGGCTCAGGCCAGAAGCCAGGGGGCACTAGAGCATGGCTTTCTGGCAAGAAGCCAGCACAGGCTGTGTGTTCACTTCCTCTTCCTGCTGCCCCTGAGGTCTCTGAGATTTCCAGGACATAATCACAGCAATAGGACTCTGCAGGATTACCCATCACTTCCCCTTCCTGCTTCCAGGTGCCTCTGGAATTTGTAGTCCAGTCACAGCCAGCACTAAGTAAGCCAGCAGGGCAAGGCAGCTCTGTACTTTGGGGAAAGTGAGTTTAACCCCACTTCCTGGCCCCAGGCCCCAGCTGGGGGACTCTGATTTAACTTAAACCAGGAAGGGGTCTGGGACAGAAGTTTTATAAACTGGTTTAGCCTAAATCAGTTAAGTCTGATACTACATTCAACCAGATTTATCTTAAACCAGTTTCAGTCATTTTGAAACTGGTTTATGTGCACTGAACTTCTGTTCTGTTACAGGCTTAAACCAGTTTCTGATCACTTAAACTGGTTTGTGTGTAACTTCCTTCTCTAGCCCTATAGATTCTACAACACTATTAAGTTATGAAGATATGGTTCTCCTGCTAGAGACAGTGCATGTGCAGATGGGGGTCTTCAACAGCTGACAAGAATAAATTAACCTTTAAAAAAAATCTCCTCCATGACAGCGTCCTATATTTAAATTAGAGAACAGCACCATCTCTGGCAGTTAAATCAGAAAAGGGATACCACATCTTAAACACAAATCATTTGGAAAAACAAACATGTAAAATCAGATATCACCAGCATTCTGTGGTCATGGAAAATACAAAGGTTCAATTTGTGAGGGGGGTTAGAAAAGAATCTCTTAAAGGTCAACTGGACTCTGCCATGATTTTTTTTAAAGAGTTCACATCTACAGAATCCTCAAAAGTTAGTAAGGTCATGAAGAACCATGAAGAGTCCTAAACTGAAGAACAAATCAGTAAATTAGATGCTTAAAATTTATTGTCTTGTCTGACTTTAAAATCTTTTGTTTATATTAATCTTAAGTGTTGCTTGAAAATACAACAGCTAGAAACGGCTTCATTCCTAACAGAAAGAAGCTGTCTCCCAAGTTAAATATCTTTTCAAAAAGATGGACCATGACCTGCAAGAATAACCCTGAAATGTCTTTATTTTTGCCATTTGGGAGGTTTACATAAGAAGGACCTTCCATGTTTTGCCTAAACAGTCAGTTTCCTCACTTTGGGTCCGTCACACAGCCAAGTGACAAGCTATAGTTGTTCTCAACCATTTTAAACTTGAGGCAGCCCTCAATAGACTCAAGGCATCTCTCAGAAAATGCCAGCTCTTAGTTTTCATTTGTTTTGTGACTACAGAAAAATAATGGGGTGATTCTTCTATTTCAAAGATCTCAGAAAACCCACAAAAGGTTAGGATGTTTTCAATAACATGGATTCCTATTCAGAATTGCTGGGTTTATCTTATGAATCTTATTTGCATGCCTAACAGTGCTAGCACTGCATGGCACCCCAGGACCTCGAGGCACCCTGGCTGAAAAAATCACTCCACTAGAGCAACTGCAAATGCACAAGAGTTAGTAGACATATTCCGAAGCAGGTTTAATACCTGAAACTGTAAAGCTATTTTTAAATCAACTATATTTCAAGTTGGCTGTGATTAATTAAGCTCTCTGAATATAAAATAAATCCAATTAACTTTTGTTCTGATTTTGAGTGCATCCAGAAACTAAAGAGGAGCTTAACAAGGAAACACTGAATCTCTGAACCTCAGCTCTAAAACAATATGCTGTTAGAAAGAGCAGCTTAAGATCATCACTTAAAGGGGAAAAGTAAATGTCCTCCAACAGCTGTAGAAGTGATTTTTTCCTCCCATAAAATAGTAGTTCTCAGTTTGATGCATCAGTACAACAGTGATTAGTGCTGACAACTCAAGAAGAGCTGCTATTATACTGTTAATTTTCAGCATGAATCCCAGTCTGACATTTTAAGTGACAGGAAAAGTCAACTGAATATTTGAATATTCAAAAAAGTTAGAACCAAATCTACTGTATCATTTCACCACTGTTTTTGAAACTGCGATCTTTCCTCCTACATTTATACACCAAAACGCAGTTTCTGGATGCCAGAACTACTGAGTCAGGCTAGCGACTTCCTCTTTAGCATTTCTTTCTCTCAAGAGTTATTCATTCTCTTTTTATAATGCAATACAAACTTTAAGGATACTTCTTTCTCTTTAAGCTAGAAAACAAAAACTATGGTACCTAGAGATCATCACTTAAATTGTACTGGACAGAATGGCATCTTAAAGACTAACAGATTGAGAGAGGCATAAGCTTTTGTAGCCTACCACTTCCTAAGATGCTATGAATCGACTTGCAGAAAGCAGGGGTTCTATATAGAGGGGGACAAAGGATAGGAGGAAGGGGGCACTGCCAAGAGGGGAAAAGGTGGGTTGAATAGGTCAGTAAGGTGCATCTCTGCCCTGCCTTCAGACTAACTATCTCTTTACATCTTACTGAAATTAAAACTATACTTAGTTGTACTGAAGCTTGGTTATGTAGCAGATGAGAAATTGTTCCCTTAAAAAGGAATGCACATTAGACAGCGCATCTACAGAAACTGTGTAACCCACATAAATGTGTGTGTTTGACTCCAGTTGACCTTCAGGCTAATTGCAACACAGAATAAAATGTCTTCCAAATAGAAGTCTTCCATATCTTTGTCCACTTGCTAAACTGTTTTGCAGACTTGACCACTGATATTTAAACTATATGCCAATCAATGATTTTTTACTTAATATCTAAATGCTATACTATCTACAGAAATACAAAGAGTGAAATAGTTCTACCTCTCCACACAAAAGACCTCCGCTGTGAGGCTGTGAACAATGAATAGAAAGCTGTTTTTAGAAATAACAGAAGTGTAGATTCACCAATTGTTTTTAATGGTTCGCATAAGAAAGCAACAACTGTTTTCTTCCCCACTGCAGTAAAATACTGTAAAACTGAAATGAAAAATTGTTTAGTTTCCTAATACACTACACAGTTGTAACACAAAGAAGGAAGAAAACAAAGACAAAGGCCCATTTCGTTTCACTTGGGAATAGTTCAGTGCTTCGTGAATACAGACAATTTTTGTAGTATAAACACCACCAGATTTTTCTGCATTATTATAACAAAGCTACATTTGAACAAAGTAAGTTGTGTAGATAATAGCTCCATAAAGCAGAGTTTTAGCTAACAAATTTCCCTTCTTATGAAGGAATGGGTATATGTCCCTTCCCCCAGTCAGATTCTATTGTAAAACCCACTCTATTCTACAAAAACACATTAGCTAGGGGAATACACAGAACATTCAGCCAAGAGGGGGGACCAAACTGTTTCTAGTACCACTTACATTCAGACAAGTAGCTTCTGTTTTCTGAGACCACACCTCATACCCCACACACCAGAATGGAGCCATATATTTCTATATCACAGGTAACCCACACAGCAACATTTGTAGTTGCCCAATATTTGCCATTACAGATCTTGTTTTCAGGTGCTTGTAATTTTGGCAAACTTTAAGCATTTCATCCAACCTTTCCCAGGTTGGATGTCTATCCGATGTTTTAGCTTGGAGATAGAGAAAGCAATTTCAATTACAACAATTTAGCCATTTCCAAGAACAACATTAGAGAAATATTGCCCATGTTAAAAAAATTTCATAAGCCTCTTATTTGAGAAACTAGAATTTCTGCAAAGGGTTTTTTTTGTTTGCAAGCACAGATAAGAGCAAGCCATGCACTCCGTAGCATCCCCTAGGGAGAGGAGTTGATGAGTCTGCTCTTCAGAGAGAGAGGCAGTGGTCTGCTGGGAAAAGATGGCCTCTACCTCACTCCACTGGGGAAGAAGCTCTTCTCAGCCAGAATGGCTGATCTGCTCAACCGGGCTTTAAACTAAGCTCACCAGGGGATGGGCGGATAACCACCAGAGCAAGCTCACCACCAAGCATCAACCACAAAAATCAGCAAGTTAGGATGCTCAAGGGAACTCACTCCTACCCCAACCCAGGAACAGAGCTCTTCCATGAATACAAGGAAGCCTAGGGCCTCCAATGGCATACTTATTGCCTGTACACTAATGTTAGGAGTTTGGGGAATAAACAGGAGGAACTGGTCCTTCTGTTAAACAAAAAGGGCTACGATCTCACAAGGATAATGGAGACCTGGTGGGACTCCACTTATGACTGGACTATGGGTATAAATGGCTATACCCTGTACAGGAGAGAGTGTGCTGAAAAAAGGGGCAGGGGTGTAGCTCTCTATATGAGGGAGAGCTGCACGTCCCTACAAGTTGAGATTGGCACCCAAGGAGGACTGGAGACCCTTTGGGTTAGAATATGAGGGGAATGTGGTGAATGGGATACAATGGTAGGAGTCTACTACAGACCTCCAAATCAGGAACAAGAGCTTGACCAAGAATTTACCAGGGAACTGGCTGAGGCTGCACACTCTCGGTGCACAGTTGTCATGGGAGACTTCAACTACCCAGACATCTCATGGGAAGAGCACTCAGACAAATCTGATCAGTCTCAAAGCTTCCTTACATGCACGGATGAGCTTTATCTGTCTCAAGAAGTTTATCGGCTGACAAGAGGTAAGGCGCTGCTGGACCTGGTACTGGCCAAAGGGGATGATCTAATCAGTGACCTAAGAATCAAAGGGAAGTTGGGTGACAGTGAACAAAAGTTGATCACTGTTTCACTATCCATCACAAAGCTGGCAAGTCAGCCAGCAATGCAGTAGTCTTGACTTTAGGAAGGCTGACTTTCATAAGTTCAGGAGGCCCTGAGAGGCCATGATTTCACAGGGAGGGGAGTTCATGATTAGTGGCTGCTCCTTAAGGAAGTGATCCTAGAAGCACAAAGGGAGTCCATCCCAACCCATAGGAAAGGTGGTAAAAAGGCTCAACAACCCCCTTGGCTCAACAGGGAACTCATGGACCTTCTACATCTAAAAAAGAGAGACTTATAAAGGATGGAAGACAGGAAACACCACTAAGGAGGAGTATTCTGCACTGGTCCGCACCTGTAGGGAGCGAACCAAGAAAGCCAAGGCTGCAACTGAACTCCAACTAGCTACACAGATCAAGAACAATAAAAAAAATATTTTTTCAGATATGTAGGGAGTCGAAAGAAAAAAGAGGACAACGTTGGACTCCTGCTAAACCACTTGGGGCAACTGACTACCAACACCCATAAAAAAGCCAATCTGCTTAATGATTACTTTGCGTTGGTTTTTCACCAGCCCAAAGGGACCACCCTGCCTAACATGATGCAGGATGACCAGGGTAAGGATGAATATACGCCTACCACTGGTGTGGATCTTGTGAGGGAGCATCTTGAGAGGCTGGACCCCCACAAATCAACTGGTCTGAATAGATTGAACCCAAGAGTGCTAAAGAAACTGGCAGACATCATAGCACAACCACTGGCCTAGGAGATTCGAGAACTCGTGATGCTCGGGGGAAGTACACGAAGATTGGAAGAGAGCCAACGTGGTGCCCATCTTCAAGAAAGTGAGAAAAGAAGAATTGGGAAAGTACAGGCCAATCAGCTTGACCTCAATCCCGGGAAGATTTTGGAAAAAATTATCAAAGAAACCATTCTTGACAGGCTAACAGAAGGCAACATTGTAAGGGATAGCCAGCACAGGTTTGTTGTGGGTAGGTCTTGCCTGACCAATCTCATTTCCCTCTATGACCAGGTGACATATCACCTGGACAAAAGGAAAGAGGTTGATATCATATATTTGGACTTTTAAAAAGCCTTTGACCTGGCATCCCATGATGTCCTTATGGAAAAATTGGGCAACTGCAGCCTCAACTAATCCAGAGGCTGATGGCTGGGGAACTGGCTCTGAGGTCGGACCCAGAGAGTGGTAGTTGACGGAACCGAATCAACATGGCATTCAGTGACTAGCGGTGTCCCCCAAGGCTCTGTTCTCAAACCTGTACTCTTTGTGTTCATAAATGATCTGGACACTGATGTCAGAAGTGGACTGGCTAAGTTCGCTGATGACACCAAACCCTGGGGAAGAGTGTCCACACTTGCATGGGTGATTTTAGTTAGAGGGGGACTCTGTACTTAAAAAGTACAGAGAGGACATCTTTTCTAAGTCAGACACCATTCAGACCAAGTCACGTCTTTCACATAAAAGTACGAGATTACACAAAGTTCTAGTACGTACCCGATCTAGCAACCCTTTCAATTCTATCCATACTAGGAGAATGGATTCGAATACGAGGGCTACTCTGATTGGATGATTCGGAGCCCGCATCAGTAAAAGAGTCTTCAAGTGTGAAGAACAGAATTTCTTTCACACATTTGTGACAGATACTGTGCTGACATGGGAGGATCAGTGGGTGAGTAAATAACTCCTTGCATGCTGGGCAGATAAGCTCTCGTTCAATGTTCTTAATGGTAACCTGGTAAAAGAAAGACAAAGAAAGAACATAATTTGAGCAAAGATGACCCACAATATACACAAGCATTCAGAAATGGTGTTATAACATGGGTGGGGAACCGTTTCCAAAAACTGAGTATTTTGGAGTGTTTTATTAGTCTAAGGGTAAATGTCCATAAAGACCATGGTTGTGTTAGAGTTACATCATAGCCATCGGGGTGCAGAAATTATGCAAGGCAAAGATTTCTTAGGGTGATATCTTTTACTGAACCAACTGCATAGTTGGGATAGAGTCAGGCAAGCTTTCAAATGCAAGTCTTTTTTCATCAGTGAAGGTTTTGAATGGAAGGCATTCTTCTTCAGGTGATCTGAAGGAGGTGATCTTGCACCCTGAGACTGTCTAACTCCATCCTAACTATGCAACTGGTCCAATAAATGATATCACCCTAGGAAATCCTTACCTCTCACAGAGACCATAACAGATTAATACGGTAAACCAAATGGTGATAATACTAAGAAAACTTTGCCAACATTCACTGATACATAAACAAGACAATACACTTGATCTTAGCTCACAAGAGGCCAAGAAGCAATCTATGCAATACAAAACTGAAGTGCTTTACTTGCCTAAGTCTTTTTAAAATGAAAAGTAAGGGGAACTGAACTAATTTAAAACCCTAAGGAAGAAAAGATTAATTAAATAATCAATCTTTAGATTAATTTAAAACCCTAAAAGAACATCTTTTTTTAAATGAAAAGGGGAATTGAATTAAATTTAAATCCCTAAGGAAGAAAAGACAGTTGTCATTTTAATACAAGTTCTCAAGTGGAGTTAAATTCTAAATTCCGCCACAGTTTACTCAAACTGACAATTTAGGCTAAAACTGACTACTTTTCACCAGGATTAACCTGAATTAAGACTGTTTTTGTGCTGACTACTTGTCCTTGGATTCTAGGTGCTACTTTGAACACTATCTGTGACCATCTGTCTGCTACCCAGACATTTTAAAACCTGTTGTAAAAGTTAATTAAAACCCACTAAACCCATGATTTTAAATTATAATCTGGTTACCAAATATTCCTTTCTATCCAATCCTCAATTGTTAAGATTACAACTTCTTTCCAGGGGGGGAATGGAAAAAAGAATATTTTTATGTCAAGCATCACGATTCTCCGCTTAATGGTGAACTGGAAAGAAAACATTTTTCTAAGCATCCACAGAAAGCTTTTGATTTTTTTTTTTTCTTTTAAGGGTGCTTAGACATGGCCTGAAAATTATTCCAAAAAAGTAGCTTGTTTTTTTAAACTTAGAGAAATTAGAAACATGAAATGATCACTTCCTTGTGCTGTTGGTTTAGAAAACACATACAGATACACGAGCACATTAGTAGAACTGGAAGTGGCTCCAAGTTGAGCACTGCGTACATCATGTTCCCCTGTATTTCGAGTTTTAGGTTACACAGACATTAAAGATGAACAAAAATGAAAAAAAATCTTCTCTTCACTTGCTCAGACCCGGAATCCCAGACAGGCACCAGGTCCATCAGCAATAAGGAAGTAAGATTCTTTGCTCTCCGCTTGTGTAAATAAAAAGGCTTTTTTTTCATGCCTCTATAGACTGTTTCTGGCTCTGCTAGTCACTTCTTGAAAGGATCAACAACAAGTAGGCTCCTTCTCAACACGCCACGCCGACAGGTCCCCTGGGACCTCATGTCTCCCTCCAGCGCCCAAAGGGAGCAAAAGGCAAGCAGAGCTGCCTGGCTGGGCAGATTTCCTTCCCCCCGTGCCCCTGGGCTGGACGAGCCGTGCCAGGCTGCGGCCGGGCGCCCGTCTCCAGGCTTCCCCGG